GCATTTTCAATTTTTGAAATATTACTAGACTCAATAGTTTCTATACTTTCGTCTGAATCAGTGCTTGACTGGGCAATCAAGGCTGAGGAAGATCCTAAGACTTTAAGACCAGATTTCTCAGGTTTGACAGGAGTTAACTGCTCAAGCATACCTTCTATCTTTTTCATAGTGGAAGATGTCTTAAGTGAGTGTATAGGCTGTAAATCTTGAAACTGAACTAAAGGTTTTTCTTTTGACTTAAGTTTAGGTTCAGGGGGAAGAAGCTTGTCAACTTTGGTTTCTATTTTATCTAATTGTTTTCCTATGACAACTAGGCTTTGATTGGCATAATTATTTTGTTCAATCAATTTCTTATTTTTGTCATCCGTTTGGTCAGTAATTTTAAAAGGACTGCCAACAACTCTTGATGTTCCATGGTTAATAAGAATGGTTTCTACCGGGGGATGGCTAGAGACAACTTCAGATTGGTCTACTTTTACCCATTTTTCTTTTGTTAAGGTTTTTAACTCATTCGGAATATAACAGCTTTCTACAAAATCAAGATAATAAATTTCAACTTTTGCAGACCGCATATAGTCTTTCCAATCATTAAAAATTTCTTGTCTATTGTGTTTGTCTGGGACAACTATGTGATAATTATTTCTCCTAGTCTCATTGTTGGGGTCGTAAAGGTGCTTATCTAAGGATTTCCAATTAATTTTAAAGCGTTTGGCTTTCTCAAGAACTATTAATTGATCATCCATGACATAAGCATTGGCCTCACTTGCTATGAAGTCTGTCTGTGTGGGAGAAGTAAGAGGAGACTCAGGTTTGGGATCTTTTGCAACTGGAGGAACAGGAGGAGTTCCATAGCATGGGTGACTTACTTGGGCTGTTTTTCTAAGGGATTCTAATTTCAAATCAATCAGGGCTTTTTCTATTTCTAAATCTCTTTCTTGAGTAGAGGAAGAAGCTGCGAAGGAGTGTCTAGCAGGCGTATTTCTCTTGGATTGGCTCGGTGTAGGCAATTGTTGTAATTGGACTGAGGACTTAGGGTGATTGCCAAAATTAATTTTAACTGTACCATCTACATATTGTTGAATATAATATAAATTATTTAAACTTCGTTGTATGGGGGCAGGTTGGGTCTCAGTGACTAAAGTCCAATCAGTAGGTAGACTAATCTCAGACCATTTAACTGTGTGTGGAATTCTAATATTAGCATCAGGCGTACAACTTTGTATTAAAAGTGTTTGATCTTTCGGACTCTTATTTAAAGCTTGAAAATTCATATTTGTACCAGTAACTTTGTAGTAAATTCTAAAGACTAAGGCTAAAGGTTGGGTACCTGGGAGGACATTATAACCAGAAGTCTTAATATTCAAAGTTAAAGTTTTAAGAATATGAGGATCATTTAGACTTACAGTAAAATCAGGGTAACAATCGAAATGGACTGGACCATTACACAAACTGGACTCAATCATTCCTAGAACACTATCATTAAACTCAGTAAATCTAGCATCAGGTAAACACAATAAAATAGGGGCTTGTAAGCCTAATCTAGTAAGTGGTTTAATAGCAACTTGAACAAGACCTATATGCAGAAAATTATTACCATCATGCTTATGTTTCTTAATAGACTCAAGATTAAGTAACTGGCAAGATTCATGTTCTTTACTTAAAGCATAAACTTGTTCAACTGTTTTGACATGAGTAGTGGAATTAAAACTAGAAAGCGACCATTTTTTCTTATAAATATTTTGACTTGGGACTTTAGGTATATTCCAATCTCTAAATCTAATTGTTCATCATTACTAGAATTATATTCAAACTGTTCTTCATTTACTATCTCAGGGAGGCGGCCTATTGTGGTTCTAGAGTTGCTCGAACTATAAGAATTTGTCCTATAGAGGCGACTCATATTTACTCAAGTGTTTGGGGTTGAATTTCTGAAGGAGAAGATGAATAGTGACTTCTAAGACTGACCATTTACTCAACAAGAAACCTATTGATCTTCTCTCTAACTCTCTGTCTTCTGCCCACCGCTTGTGCCCTACCCTGGGGACTTATCGTTTGGAAAGAGGACTCACGAGTCAGACCTTAAGAGAGAAAACAAATAAATGTCTTGAAGAATAAAAGAAGTAGAAGAAGAAAACTACAAAACTTCAACTCAGAAAACCTAAACCAGCCACTTGGGTTGGATGAGTTACAACTTAGACGAACTCTCACAACTCTTATGGCTCTGATACCAGAAGGGTCTAGAACCAGAGAGGATTAGCATAGATAGTGATGAGACATACATAATAGAATAAGTGAAGCTTATGCATGAACCTAATTAATGAAAATACAAATATAGAACATAAAAACAATAACATAATGATATGAATTTAAAATACTCAAAATATATTGATAACTTGAAAATAGGCTTATGAGAATGTTGGCTTACAAAGATTGAAAGCTAGCTCACGAGTTCCTATTGTTGTTCTTCAGATCATTGTTTCTGAGAAGAACATTTAAACTGAGAAACTAAAATTTCGCTCTTTTACATTCTTTTGGTCATAAAAAGTAGGACATGACCATGGTGACTTGCTTTTTCTAATTATATATTTCTTTTTGTAATAACTCATTAATCTCAGTTTTGCAAAATTCCATCATTTCTTGACTCATCTGGATTGGTCGAGCTTTAGTAGGGATATTTTTCTCAGAAAAATTCCTAACATAAGGTAGACTTACAACATGATTTTTTCTATGCCAAAATGCAGTGGGTAGATCTGAACATATTTCGGATACTAATTTTTTCTCAAATTCTAAGACATGTTGTTGGAAAGACGGGCTACTTAGTTGAGACTCAATTCTCTTAGTTTTTACTTCTTCTTGAAGGTGGCAGACTTGACTACTTTTGTCTTTTATTAAAGCAATTGTCTTGGCAATATCATTTTTTTGTAAAGATTTTAACTTATGTAACTCGGGTTTGGTTAAAAATTCAAATTTAACTTTCTCACCTAAATGACTTGATACCACACCATCAAATTCAACTTGAAAAGGATAAAGAAGGCTTATAAAAGGTAATCCTAGAATGACTTTATCAGTTATATTTTTAATTAAAACAAAAGAAGTTTTAAAACAAATTTTATTCTGACAAACATGGGCTTTTGGGATCTCATAGCTTAATTGAAGTAACTTTCCTGAAGCGGTACTTAAGGATTCAACAAGAAATTTCCTAAACCACAATGGAAATTTTATGTATGTCCCAAGCAATGTAGCCCAAACCACAATGGATATCTTGGATGTCTTTTCATATGATTTGTAAATTTCAGTATTAGGGAACACTGAAATGAGAGCATGTATATAGGTGAGTGCCATAGAAGTGAGAGTGAGACACACGGCCATTGTTGGAGGGGAAATCCGCCAACAAGCAAAAGGGTGACACTGAGAGAAGCAATGAATGAGACGGTATTGAATGTTACGAACGCGAGGAAGTCTTTTGGGAAGCCGCTGCCTGCCACTGAAGTTCCAGCAGAGCATATGTTATCATGGGTGCAATAAGTAGTACCTCCAGCGCTACTATTTGTATTATTGTCTTGCCAAACACCACCGGGTGGATTAACTGCAGCTTCGAAAGTTGTGGTTGATATCATGGTTGCCACAATCATCAGCATGCCACGTGTCTCTTCCAACCAAGTTCTTGGGTATTCCAAGCAATTTACCAGTCTATTTATCAGACACCAAGCTATCGCTACTGCTTTGTCTGTATCTGACCAGTAGCGGCAGTAGTTCTTTTTGTTTCCATACCTGGGCCTGGCTCAACCAAAATTTGATCAAGTTCAGGTAGGCCGCTCGAGTCTCTTGGATTTTGTTCTGAGGAATATAACTGGATCACACCATTTTCTTCTATTACAGCAGGTATCATCTGCACAAGTGGTACCATTATTATTACTACTACTTGTTTCTCCTTTTAGTTCTTTGTTGTCACATCCCGGGATCGGCTCCGCCGTAGCATGATATTGTCCGCTTTAGATTCCGATCTTTAGATTCCGATCTGCACAGCGTTGCAGAGATCGATCAATGAGTGACTATGAGTGCCCTCTTAATTATTTATTGAACCAAAGTGATAAATTGTCCAAATCAATTAGCGATCAATATGCTACTCTATTCTGGGGATGTGATCCTTCATCAACCAAAGCAAACAACAACATTGCCAATCACATTTCTTACAAGAGAAATGCCCCGTTGACGATATGATCATAAATATGGTACAAATAGTTTTATCAAACAAAGAGTTGTATAAGATTAACTCTGGTCCAAAGAAAAGCTGTTCATTGGTCCCCCCCCTTGTAAGCTCTGTAACATTCATGCAGGACTCAATGAAGTAATTAGATACAATCACATATATAAATATGATCAACAACAGCTACAGAATCTTTATGTATTACATAACATCCAAACTGATCATTCTGACTCACTCTTAACAAATTCTAACAGAAATAAATTAAGGCAAACACTGGCTAGCTCACTAGCCAAACACAACCTGCTGGTTCTCCTTAAACACATTCTTCATCATTAAATAGATGGTTTACTTTAGCAATCCAACACACAAGGAAACGGCAGGCGTATTCTCCTCAGAATTTTTTGGTACGGTGACGTGCTTCTGAACTATCCACCAAACTATCAATCACGTTCCTGAGGCTTTTTGGGATCTTATGCTTGAACCTGCGCCACAACTTCCTTGACAACCAAATGGGAAGGCGAATGGTATGGATTGCAGCGATGGTTAGAAGCAACGCAGTCCAAACCCCAACAGATATCTTGAACATTTTTACATATGATTCGAAAGTATTATCGGCAGGGGACACTAAGCTGAGAGCCTGTATATAGGTGAGTGCTATAGAAGTGACAGTGAGACACATGGCCATTGATAAAAGCCACATAATTACACGATTCCGGAGGGGAAATCCGCCAACAAGCAAAAGGGTGACACTGAGAGAAGCAATAAACGAGACGGTATTGAATATTACGAACAAAAAGAAATCGTCTTTTAAAACGGTGGCTACCACTGAACTTCCAGGAAAGCATTTCTCACCATATTCACAAACACCGCCGGGTGGGTTAACTGCAGCTTGGAAAGTTGCAGTTGATATCATGGTTGCCACAACCATCAGCATGCCACGTGTGTCTTCCATCCAAGTTTTTGGGTATTCCACGCAATGTACCAGTCTATTTATCAGACACCAAGCTATCGCTACTGCTTTGTTCTGAATCTGACCAGCAGCGGCAGTAGTTCTTTTTGTTTCCATACCTGGACCTGGCTCAACCAAAATTTGATCAAGTTCAGGTACGCTGCTCGGGTCTCTTGGATTTTTTTCTGGGGAATAAAACTGGATCACGCCATTTTCTTCTTCTTTTACAGCAGGTATCGTCTGCACAAGTGGTACCATTAATATATTGAAAACTTTGTTGCTTGAAACCAAGGCATAAGAATCGAGTGCAGTGGTGTATCCATGAACTTTTCAGGGGAGGTGCAATATTTGAAACACTAAAAATTCAAAAAATAATTTAGATAAGCAAATGCCCTTAGAATTTAAACAATACTAATGTCATTCAAAATTAAAACAAATAAGAGTTTTACGTCTATTATTAATTGATTACAGTCTATATGGTATATCAATTAATATGAACAAAATCCATGTCAATGGACATAAGTAGTTTACCAAAATTCATATCAAATATATATGAACAAAATCCATGTCAATTAAATAATTCATCTAACAAAAAGTCAATACCAATTAATCTAACCAACATTAATACCAATTAATCTAATCAAAAGCTAGCACATGTGGTTTGGAGTCACGAGATAAAAGTACATGGGATTACAAGTTCGGGATAATGTTTGATGAATTTTTCGGTGCACATATGGGTTTTTAATGAATTTTTAAAGCTAGTCCAAATAAAAATTGACATTTGGCAGCTTGCTATTGGACTATTTAAAAAAGGTATCAAAATTAACACGGGGTCTTTCTTCCTCGTCAAACTCGAACATCAATTCTTAATAAACTTCTAAAATTTATAACTTTGGTTTTGGAACTCTGATTGTTGAACCATTTTCTTCTATATGTTGATGAGATCGAGCCTAACAATCTAGGTAAATATTCAGGGTCTCACACAACAGTAAACAAAACAACCTCTTCGAGGCATTTAGTTGAACAATTTGTCGGCACTAGCAAATGGGTATATTCTAGCATCTCCAAGGAAGTTTCCGACAAGTCTCTCTGTGCTTTTGTGGATCCACCAATAATCATGTGTAGGATCAAAAATTAATCCCAACTCAAAAAACAATAATAATGGTGAATAAAATTAAAATTGTAGTTGCCGTTTATAGTATAGCTTATGTAAATACGAGATTGATCCCACGGAGAATAGTAACTTGGTTCCAAGTTAAATTACTTAGAATGCTAGAAAAACATAGAACAAAGAAACTGACTAACTAGCTAAAGGCAAGGTCGAATTCAACAATGTCTCTTCCTAATTACTCAAGGTCTAGGACAGAATCCTAGCACCACACACGCACTCGAAATGGGGGTTTTTGTTGTTGAAATGAAAAGAAGAAAGTGAAATGAAAGTGCTCGAAAGTAAATAACTGGCTGCAATTAACAGATTGTGAAACAATAATTGAGAGGTGTTAGAGCCTTGGAATCCAC